CTTTCCCTAGAGTCTGCCTCTTTTATTAAACCAAATTAATCTTGAAACATTTATTTGGAATTTTTTTACTCTATTTGGACATAGGTCTTCTTCTATCATCATCATCAACTCGATTTCCTTTATTTGTACTAATCGAGTAACCGAAGATCAATTTTTTCATGACCAAACTACGGGGTTTGAAATTTTCGAGGTGAAAACGAACGATCAGACGATGGAATTCAAAATTAATTTATTCACTAATAATTTTTAATACAAGTAATTTGAAAGATATCAACTCGATTTCCTTTATTTGTACTAATCGAGTAATCCAAGATCAATTTTTTCATGACCAAGCTACGGGGTTTGAAATTTTCAAGGTGAAAACGAACGATCAGACGATGGAATTTAAAATTAATTTATTCACTAATAATTTGTAATACAAGTAATTTGAAAGAGCCACTAACGAAAGAAATTAAATTAATACAGTTAAGTTTACTTTAAACCCTACAATTGTCGGTCCCAAGCCCGGATGTGAAAAGTGGAGGGTTGCGTTAGGTAGTCGACAAACAGCGTAAAACTTGTCGAAAAAAATCATGATATGAATCTTTTTGATCATTGTGTAAGTGCTACGGCGTTCTCTAGAAGCGATGCGCTGTATAGTTTGAATACAGTGAATAGTGTGCAAGGGCAGCTACACTGACGGCCGGCTGTAGTGTCAAATAAGCAAAATTTCCCATATTACAGACGAATGCGAATAAAGAAGTTAGTCCATGAAACTAGAATATAGGCACTCTCAATAGTAAATTAATGAAATTAGTTGATATTATGATTTGTAGGAAAATTAATATCTTTTGTATTCAAAAAACTAAATGGGTTGGAGAAAAGACTAAGGAGATTGATAATTTAGGTTTTAAACTTTGGTATTCTGATAAGAGTCGCACTAGAAATGGTTTAGGTGTAATTATTGATAAGAATTTGAGAGATAATATTGTAAAAATTAATAGAGTTGGTGATAGAATTATAACTTTTAAGATTATCATTGATACTAAGATTTTTAGTATTATAAGTGCTTATGCTCCTCAAGTAGGTTTAGATTCAGGGTCTAAAAATAAATTTTGGAATGACTTAGAAGACTTAATACAAATGATACCTCTTAAAGAAAAATTTTTTATTGGAGGAGACTTAAATGGACATGTCTGTGGAGTGTTTGAAGACTTCAGATATACTCATGGTGGCTACGGTTTTAGAGTAACTAACGAAGAAGGTAGAGCTATTTTAGATTTTGTTTTAGCGTGTGATTTGGTTATTACTAATACTTTATTCAAGAAAAGAGATAAGCATCTTATTACTTATAAGAGTGGATCTAATAAAACGCAAATTGATTATTTTCTTATGAGAAGAAGAGATCGTCGCAATTGTAAAGATTGTAAGGTCATTCCAAGTGAAAATTTAAGTACCCAACATAGTTTATTAGTTTTAGATTTTAAGATTAAGAGTTGTAAAATAAAGAATACTAGGACTCATCTTCATCATCGTAGAATTAGATGGGGGAACCTAAAAGACACAAATAAAATTATTTTTATAAGTAAAATTTAAGATTTCAAAATTTGGGATGTTCATGAAGATGCAAATGTTATGTGTTAAGTAACAAACACTATTAAACAAGTAGCAAAAAATGTGTTTGGAGAATCAAAAAAATTTTTTTTATAAAAAAATAGTTAGTGGTGGAATAATAATGTGCAAGACAAGATAAAATACAAGAAGTTATGTTATAAAAATTGATTTAAATGTAAAAGCTTAGAGAACTGAGAAAAATATCAAACGGCCCGTAGGGAGTCTAAAAGAACAATCTGTGATGCTAAAAATTCTGCTTTTAATGATCTTTATAATAGATTAGATACTAAGGAGCGTGAAAAATATATGTATAATCTAGCCAAACAAAGAGAAAAGAAAAGTAAAGATTTAACTCCAGTAAAGTGTATTAAAGATGAAAATCAAAAAGTACTTTTCTTAGAAAAAGATATTCAACATAGGTGGGTGAGTTACTTT